CTACTTCCTAAAATTACTTAGGAAATTTCCTTGAAGTAGACAGACACAGACAAGAACTTTGCCCAAAGTAGGCTGTATTTTCTCAGAACTAAACACCAAATTATGTTTCAAAGTTCTATTAAGGGTTCTGATTTCTGGGCTGTATTTTTTTCATTCAGTACTTGATGTTTGTTGAAGAAAGCACTTGGGGTTACCTTTTTCCTGTTGCACATTTCCCTGCCCCTGGGGCCTGAGAAGATGTCGGTACTGGAGTCCCTCTGATATTCCTTGTTTGGAAAGATGCATGTTTGAATTAAGAGAAGATTGTCGGTCACAGAGTACCCATGTGCCCACTTCTGGGTCTCTAGCAACCGCTGAGGCTTTTTACATGAAACTGAACTGAAACTGCCCTCAAAAAGACCCAAGAATGGAGAACATAAAGTATTAAAGAGTGTTGGAGTAGCAGGATATACAAACTCCTTTGGAATTCCTCAATAGATAACCTGTCTAGTAGATGGTACCTCGACTGACACAGGTCAGACGCCTATGCAGTATTTTGAGTTGCTGATTCTTTGCTATGTTGTCTTTTCACACTTAGTTGATCGCCAAGTCCACATGTGGTGTTTTTGGTATTGCAGAGCCATGTCAAAGTGAGAGGGAAGCGCAGGCCGCAGACCCATGCGGCCAGGCGGCTGGCTGCCCAAGTGTCCAGCGAGGCTGAGGATGCAGGTGTTCCCAGAGGCTCCATCACACAGTTGGCAGAGGGTGCCACTTTGCCCAGTGGCCGTCAGCTTCAGCCCAGAGCAACCAGTATGGAAGTCAAGTCTGAGCAGGCTGTGGCTGCTGCCACTCCACCTAGGGAAAGCGGTCCTGTGCCTGCGATGGACAGGAGCCCCTTTGTGATGGCCCTGGGCCTGCCCAGGGATGAGACTGACTTGTTTGATTCCGAGGACATCTTTTCCAAGGGCACAAGATCACAGTTCACTGAGAGAGCAAAAGCCAAGGTGAAGGACAGGGAGATCTCAGCCCACCTGGCTGAGGGAGGCAAAGAAAGAAGTCCCCTGTTTCCTGCCCTCGGTGAGATGGGCAGTGATGATGATCTCTTTCAGTCTGTTAAGCCGAGATCAGCAAAGAAAACAAACCCCTTCCCCCTCCTGGATGATGAGGACGATCTCTTCACTGATCAGAAAAGCAAGAAGAATGAGCCCAAGCCCAGCAGTCAGCAGGAGGTTGTATCAAAAACACAAGATATTTTTGAGGTAACAAATACTCCATGGTTCATTTGAGCCAGGGGTGTGTTGAGCTTGTTCTGTGCATGCCTAGTGTCTACTTGCTTAGTGATTCACATCTCCTATCAATAACTGAAGTTTACTCAGAAGTGTGTTTCACATAGGGGTGGTAGTTCTTGACCATAATCTTTGATACAGTTCCTGAGGTTTTTGGGGGAAGGCGGTGCTGGGATTGAACCCAGACCCTTGCAACCACTAGGCAAGTGCTCCACCACTGATGAACACCCCAGCCCTGGGTCTTGGTTTCAGAGTTTGATTTATTTTATGGGCCATGCTGCCATCAGCATCCTTGCATGCCACGCTGCAGCATGTGAGAAGTATGTGAGTGTGGCTTTTGTGGTGATTCTCTGATTCTGGGAAAATAGGCTCTGGCTGGAGCTGCTGGCTTAGCAGAGGCCCAGGCACTGTGGTTTTGGGTAGGAGCTACTTGACCAATGTCAAATATCTGGGTCCCAGGTACAAGGTGAACGAAGATGGGTGCTCTGCTTCTCAGAGCTCTCAGGGAGGGGAACAAGACAGAAACAGGGCAGCAGATGATCGAATGTTCTGGGATAACACTGAGTGTGCTGAGGGCATTCCCTGGGGGACAAGAGAGCTGCCATCTGAGCTGCTACAGGCCAAGTGCAGCTCTGGGCATCGCCTTCCAGGCAGGGACAGGTGTCTCTAAACACTCTGGCAGTGTGCATGTCTAGAACTCATGAAATGTTTTTAGTAACAACAAAATATATATATAGTTGTTTTGCTTTTTTTTTTTTGCCTTAATAAGGATGATATATTTGCTATAGAAGCAATTAAAAC